ACATAGAACCCAAAAAAAAAACCAGAAAAATTGTACAATGGAAGTTACCTGGTTTCCAGCACCCCTGTTTATAACATCCAGGGGGTCCATGTCAATTCAAAGCATTTTTCAGTATCTTGGAGGATGCTGTGAAGTTTCTCATGGACCATAATCCACAACATTTTTTGTTTGACCAAGTGGAATGGAATTGTTGGCAATTTTCAAGCCCTAGCTATGGTTATTTTGGCTGCCAACAAAAAGAAAGTAATTCATTTATCCAAAGCTTTAGACAGTCCTGGAATCGGGCAATTCAGCAACACATATTGAGGATCTCATGGGATCTTCACCCCAGTAAACCATAGGCCCCATTCACACACGAATCAGCCTGCACATACAGCTCCGTGCGGGGCCGTACCAAGCAGCTGCCGGGAAGGACAGGTGCTGCGTGTGATTAGAACGCAGCCCCCATCCTTCTCTATGGGGCTACGCAGCCGTACGCCCCCCTACGCTGACCCGCCCTGCATGTCCGTAGGGGTGCGGGTGAGCGTATTCATACGCCGCCGGAATGGATCCTGTATGCGTCCCGGCCAGAAAACCCGCACCCCTACGGACCTGCAGTTGAGGTAAGCGTAGGGGGCCGTACGGCCGCGTAGACCCATAGAGAAGGACGGGGACTGCGTACTAATCACACGCAGCACCTGTCCTTCCCGGGAGCTGCTGGAGTACGGCCCTGCTTGCAGTACGGAGCTGTACGTGCAGTCCGATTCGTGTGTGAATGGGGCCTAAATATTAGAGCATAAAACCGGTTCCAAAAGGGTCTCAATCTAGCAGTTTATAACTTTTAAATGGATTTTACTAAATAAACTGTAATATATAATTTTTGTTTTCAAGTAATTTGTAACATTAAACTGACATTATTTTTGTACAAATACTAAAAAAAAAAACCTTATAATTTTGCATGCAGGAAGAAATAGTATATGGATTTAAGTGGTTAGCAATCCACAAACCTCACACATTTATAACTGCACATTGTAAGAAAGTGAATCACAAATATTAATATGTCGCAAGAACACTTTAAAAAAGATGCATAACAGAAATAAAACTTTGGGGTTAGTTAGCATGACGTTTTGTTTTTTGCACCTAAAAATTTTGTTGCAAACATGTTCATAAATTCCCCCCGTGTATCATCAAAATTACTTTTTTTTCATAAAATACTTTTCACCTATTTTTCATTCCTTGTTGTATATCCTGTGGCCACTTTGCAGCCCCTCCCTGTCTACATGCCTGCACTCCAGCATTGGCTGCACATGGCATTTCTAAGGGCGGGTTCCTGATGGTGACAACAGTGGTTTAGGTAGGTCCTCAAATTGCATAGCTTTGGTAAATCTAAAGCTGATTGCACAGTCAGATTGTAATGTGTATGGTGGCCCTCGGACAATCTCTTTTATCAGGAAAGTGCCTCTGTCAGTGCTCTACAGGATAGATTATTGGTGTCTCTGGGCTAGTAACTTTTCTTCTCTCTTCCTGCATATGATTCCTCCAAGATGGTGAGTGAGTTGGCCTAAACCACAGCTCTCCAAGATACTGAGTGAGGTGGCCCTAACACAACGCTACAAGATGATGAGTGAGATGGATCAAATACAGCTCTCCAAAATGATGAGTGATGTGGCCTCAGCACAACCCTTCAAGATGGTGAGTGAGGGGACCCCAACACAGCTCTCCAAGATGGTGATTGAGGGGACCCCAACACAGCTCTCCAACATGCTGAGTGAAGTGGCCCCAACACAGCTTTCCAAGATGGTGAGTAAGGTGGGCCAAACACAGCTCTCCAAGATCATGAGTGAGGTGGCCCAAACAATGCTCTTCAAGATGGTGAGTGAGGTGGCCCAAACAATGCTCTTCAAGATGGTGAGTGAGGTGGCCCTAACAACACTCTCTAAGATGGTGAGTGAGGTGGTCCAACACAGCTCTACAAGATGGTGAGTGAGGTGGCCCTAACAACACTCTCTAAGATGGTGAGTGAGGTGGTCCAACACAGCTCTACAAGATGGTGAGTGAGGTGGCCCTAACAACACTCTCTAAGATGGTGAGTGAGGTGGTCCAACACAGCTCTACAAGATGGTGAGTGAGGTGGCCCTAATGCAGCTCTCCAAGATGGTGAGTGAGCTGGCCCAAACAACTCTCTCTAAGATGGTGAGTGAGGTGGACCTGGCTATGAGTGCACTTTGACTTGACGCAGCTTAGAGGCACAATATACTTTGCTGTGTATGAGCAGATGCACTCACTAGACATACAGGTCTCTAGCCATATCATTAACATATGTGGTCATTAAAAGCACACCAAACCTGGGGACAGTTGGCTCGGGTGCACAGGCATGTATATGTATTAATCTGTTAAAGTATATCTTAACCCCATTACCAAAACCTCATATAATTCCAAAAGTTGTTTGCTTTTAAATACAGCTTTCATTAAAATAATACCTGGTAATCCTGCCATAAAGTGCCTTGTTCAGGCGCTTTATGTTATAGGGTGACAACTGTGCTTCTGTGTGGTCACACAGATGGCCACTAATTGAGATAATGCTGACATACATTGAGCAGACATGGTCTACTTTTGTCACCAGAAGGGCTTGTTCACACCAAGTGCGGAGCAGAGCCGTTACAGAACGCATCAAAAATGCATCCAATGTATTCCAATGGTATTTTGGGCTCTAGTTCACACTGCAGCGTTCAGTTCCAGAGCATGTGGAAAAACTGCAGCATGCCCTATTTTTTTCTGCTCTGGAGCGCACTAAGACGCATGCAAACACATAAAAAATGCCCTGGAGCGCACTAAAAGACCATTTTCGGCTTTAAAAAAAACGACTGGTACGCGTCAAAAAACGCGGCAAGACGTACTGCACTGCATATGCAGAAACTCATGCAAATCTGGTCCGGATTTGGTGTGAACAAGCCCTGAGGAAGCTGGTCTAGGGCAATGGTGTGCAGGTGATGTTGGAGTGAGTGCATGTAGACAGGAAGTGAATGGAAAAGGCTGAAGGAGATCAGCAGCACTGAGAAAAGTAAAAGAAACAACAGGATTGTATGGAAAAACTAAACATGGTAATAATTTATGATACGCATTGCTGTCATCCAGTTAGGATTTAGATCTACTTTGAGTCTTTTTTTGTGTGTGTTTTTGTTGTGCATTTTAAAGCATTCTTCATGCATCATGCATTTTTTTTGTTGGGGGGGGGGGGGGGGTTGGGGAAAAAAGGGGGAAATGAGCATGTTACCTGCGTTCTTTCACATGCTCCTATTTAAGTCTATGGGGCTAAAAACACACTATAACCCCCCAAGAAGTGCCTGCACCAAGCTGCACGGTAGTGCACTGCATATGTGTGAATAAGCCCCACAGAAAATAATGGGATACCCTCCCTTGTGCATTTTTGCGCCCCCATCCTTAAACATCCCCCTTCTTCCCCTGCAGGATTCTGATTGGATCTGTATTTGGCGCAGCTGTTTGGGCGGATCTTAATGGATGGCAGGGGCTGGGAGGAACCACCTGCCATCCATTGATCGCACTTTTTTTAGACTCAAAAACAAAAAAATTGTTTAACATCTAAGTTTACTTTTATGATTATGTATCACGTTGCACCCATATTTAGGGAGTAATGCGAAACATGGTCATATGCCCCCTCCCCCACTTACCTGAACCTGTCGGTCATTTCATTTGGTGCAGCTGCGTGTGGATCTGCCCGCAAAGCCACGTCATCCATTCACAGATCCTTTGAATGGAGAAACTACAAGTCCTATCAGCCAGCAGAAGGACTTGTAGACCTCAATGGAATACAAGTTCGGTGACGTCTTTGCATTTGTAGCGCATGCATTCTTCCTTCCGTTTATGTTACTGAATGTCCATACCTCGGTACATGGACCAGAGGAAGAGTCTGCAGGAATCAGAGCATTGCACCCAAGGCGTATCTGCCGCGAGGCAAACAAGGCATTTGCCTTGGGTGGCAGATTTGAGGGGGGCTGCAAAAATGCAGCCCCCAAAACACTCAGGCAGCCGGGCGGAGAAGGTGGCAGCATCAAAGGACGGAGTCTGCGAGGAGGCAGCGGAGGAGGAGGTGGCAGAGGAGACGGGGCAGCAGGAGGGGGCGAAGTGAAGCAGAAGGAGGGGGCGAGGCCGGGACAACGTCGTATCAGGAAGGGGCGGGGCCAGGAAGCCGAACACGCCGTAGGAAGCCGGTGCATGCTTGACAGAACACCGAGTCACAGAAGAGCCATCGGGCTGCGGAGGAGGCCACATCTTGCAGCACCAGTCCAGCGGTGGAGGAGGCCGGGGACCAAGCAGCAGGTAAGATGATCACACTGCTGCTGAAGGAACACTGCAGAGCCCACCTGAGAGTCTCGGGTGGGCTGTACAGGGTCTGTGGTGGGGGTCTATGTTGAGCAGAGCCCACCACACATCCTGCATCGGTCTGCAGGGTGTCGTGCATGATCTGTGGTGGGCTGTGCAGGGTCTCGGGGGCTTTGCAGGATCTGTGGTGGGTTCTATGGCAGAGCCCACCACAGATCCTGCACAGCCCCCCTGAGATCCTGCAGATTTAGTTGGGGGGGTGCCCTAGTTTCGTCTTGTCTAGGGCGGCCCCACACCAGAATACACCACTGATTGCACCCATGATCTACTGATCCCGGTTGCAATGCTCTACTGGCTCCAAAGCAAACAATCAAATAAATGCACATGTGTTCTTTTTATAGAGAAGCGTACATTAATAATTTTTTCTGAAAGGTGGAGTTTGCCTTTAAGCGCGTAAAAAGCACTTACAAAGGCAAGCAGCAATTTTTAAATATTTGGTTTGCGTTATGCAATGTGATGGAAACATGTAACAAATGTAAAGTAGGTGTTATCCCAATTTGCCTGCAAAAGTGGAAATACACACTGCCATAGAGACACAATCTGCAACAGGATAGGCAGAGAGTGAGACAGTGACTAGGAGGGGGGGAGAGGAGAGGATGGGGGAGGGGGGAGCCAGGACTCTGACATGGGGCTGCTTTACTAATGGAAATCATTGCTGTGGAGCGCTGGAGCTGGATGCAGACATCTCCCACTATGGACGTGCATGGGTAAGTGGTGGTGCTTTATTACACATATCTTGCAGTGTTGTTGTTTTGTAGAGATGAAGACACTTAGCTCACTGTAGATAGGTTATTATCGGGTATTGGTGCATTACAATCTTCTAGGTTCATCTATTTACGTGGCTGCATATTGCTGCTTTACACGTCTTCCTATGTCCTCAATAGGGATCAAACACTACACAATCATGCATTGCTAGGCTACACTGCAATATGTCCTCAGTGCACTGCACACTTTGCAGATGTTGTGTGTGTGTGTGTGTCTGTGTGTGTCCAGTACGTGCTGTGTGCCCTCCACACACTGCTTACACTGCGCTACATGTCAGGCGATGAATGCTAGCTGCTACCAATGAGCCCTTTACATGCACAATCTGCTATTATCGGGTGCATGGAGCACAATTGTTGTCATGACTTAGTGCTTTAATATGTGTGTTGGATGGATTTCTCAACTGCAGCTGCAGAGCAGAAGCGCGCTGGCATAGGAGCCTTGGAACATTTTCATACACTTGACACAATTGCATGCTGTAATCATGGGAACCGCTGGTGTGAAATGCTAAGACGCAGCAGATCTCCACATTCTGAGGGCAGTGTTCACTCTTTCAGGTTACCAAGGGGTAGGTAAGCACCAGGGGTAAATTAATATGATACTGGCAGTGCAGCTACTCCTGAGTGTCCTGCTGGCCATGGAAGGGGCAGTTTCTTTTCTTACATCAAAGCAATGTTTCTTTTTCACCCATTAAAAGTATGCAAAATCTTAAGGCACCTCAGTCTTGGAATGTAATGGATATTAAGAGGGGACCCCACGCAAAACACGAAAAATAGGGTTCCCCTTCATATCGAAGTCTGCTCCATCTAATCTGGTCCCCCTCTCTCGCATCAGGAGCCCCCCTTCACATCATAGTCGCCTCCCCTCCCTTCCACATCAGACTTGCACCCCCCTTTCACATCAGAGTCGCGCCTCCCTTCACCTTTCACATTAGTGTCAACCTCCTTTTCACATCAGAGTGCCCCCTTCTCATCAAAAACAGTCTTTGATCCACTATACTCCACCAGAATCCCAATCAAATTGTGGGTGCTGGTATGATTCGCGGATAGCGCTGCGTAAATCACAGTATTTGGAATAAGTCACCCGCACTCTGAGGTCCAACATGCAAATGCCTTTATTGAGACGTTAAGCAATCATGGTGACACAGTGTAACAAGCAACGTTTCGGAACCGTAAAAGGTGCCTTCATCAGGCAAACACAGTGTGGAATTTTTACGGTTCCCGAAATGTTGCTTGTTACACTGTCACCATGATTGCTTAACATCTCAATAAAGGCTTTTGCATGTTGGACCTCCCATGTTGGAAGCCTTATTTCTCCTTTATCTTCATTGAATACTGCTAATAGTCCATATAGTGGTGTACCAGGGTTAGGTCAGGTTCACACCATTTTCCCAACCAGACCTGGAACGCAGTGCATTGCGTTTTGCTGCGTTTTTACAACGATTTTGCTGCGTTGGTTTTTTTCCAGCTTAAAATGTCTTACAGGTGCGTTCCAGTGCATTTGTATGTATTTGATGCGTTTCGGTGCATTCCAGGCCAGACAAAATAAAACTAGCAGTATTTTTCTGGTCTGGTCTAGAACGGACTGTGCTGGTGTGAACAGAGGCCAGAAATAGCATTGGGGTACATTAGGATGCATTTTGGGTCCGGAAACAATCTGGTCTGTTCTGGAGATGAACTGGTTCCACCATTAAAAAATAATGGCCTTGTGATTATTTCCCAATAATAAAATTGGCAACATAACTTACTAAGTGTCATCTCTAATTGGGAGGTGGTAACTCAATCACTTGCCCCATTCTGTTCCTAGAGGCCCCTTTCACACTTGTTTACCTTTGCCAGATGTGTTTTCCAATTAAATCAATGGAAATGCATGTCAAAGTGCATCAGCATACATTATAACAGGCATTGACATGCAATGCAAATACGTTGACATGTTTTAAAAAGGTATTTCCAACAGACCTAGATCAAGAGAAAATGCATCTGACAAAAAAAGGGCAAGTGTAAAGGTCCCAAAAAGATCTACGGCAAGACATCTCTGAATTGATGCTGACACTGTCCTTCTTTTTGCTACTTTTGTTCCCCACGGTCCCTGTGTGTGTTGTGAAGTAGCCACTGCAACAAGCTCCCGTTACTTAAGGGCCAAACACTCATACAAGCATGTACAGTGACATTCAGACTAGTTTCAATTGCAGACCCTTAAGGTGGCCATACACTCTACAACCATCTTTAGTCTTGCGATGGTTGTACAGGGATTAAAAAAACGTACGATCTGCCTATCTTGGACAGGCAGATCGCACTCTCGATCATCGCAAGCCCGCCCCCCTGAGGGGCGGGCTTCCGATGACCGCAATGCTGAACGGGCAGTTCACACTGCTCGATTATCGTACGAAAAACCGATCGCATACGATTATCGTACGATAATCGTGCAGTGTATGGGCACCTTTACAGATCGTGCTGTGCTACTAATTCCCATGCACACAAACTCGACCTATTTTAATGTTACTCTAATTATATATGAAGACAGAATAATTTTTCCTGTGTGCATCAGGATGTAATGACGAAAGGGAAAAAGCTATTCTAGACTGAATGGCGAGTTTTGACTTTGATCTACATTATGAAATATCACACCTATGCAATATCTGTGTAGTCAGAAGGCTTTTTCTTTTATTTATTGGGGTAAATCATGTGAACTGTGCACATTTTGAAATAAAAGGAGCAGGAATATTTTTTTCCAATTTCTTTTTAATTAAATAATCCATTCAATACAGGATACATCTGTTAAAACCTTGTGGTCCTGTAGGTGGAAATGGGGGCTGTGGGCCTGAACTGGTTAAAGAGGAAAGGTTTTCGTCAGGAAGCTGGTGATATGTTATATAGTCTAATTTGGAGCCAGCAGACATTTTCCACCAGTGTTTCAATTCAGTTATCTCAGCCATAAAGAAAGTTTCGTCTTTTAGATAAATTTTTCCACAGCTTTGACTTCTCATTAGCTTCTGGCAGAAAGTAGTGAACCAATGCCTCGGCCGCAATCACAAAAAGGACTCCAAAATTGGCAGAATCTGCTGGAAGTTGACACAGATTCCTGGAGGGAGTTTCTGTGCTATTGGTCAGCTGTTAAGAGGTTAGGGACCCACCATGAAGAGACCTTCGAAAATTTTCAGGACCCTCATGAGCAATTGTTTCAAGAACAACACAAACTACATACAAAAAGTCTGATTTATGAAGTGCAGTGATATGAAATTGAACTGTTTAAATTGCTACTCTCAATGCTCCATGGCCCTCCTTCTACCAAGGCTCCCACTTACGGTATTTTATGCTGTTTCTTTTTCTCTCCCGTTCATTGAAGGACACAGGGAACAGATCGGAGATCATGTACTGTAGGGTAATATCGCCACCTGCAGGAGAAGGACTCTAGGCACAAAAAAACTAAAGACCAATTACAGCCTAGGGGCGGCCCCTGCCGGTGGCCAAACCCCCCACCTACTGAGAAGTCTCCAGTTTTTTGCCTATTTTTTTAACTTACCCTTTCCAGATGTCTTAAGAGCCAGTCATGTGAATCAATGGATCCACTATAAGTGGTGAGCGGTCCTGGATAGTGCAGAAAGTGGCACTGATATAATAACATTAGCGTTGCTCACTCCATTCTATACACCATTAATAGAAGGGGCTATGCTTAGGGGGTAGAGCCATGACACCTTGTACTCAGTCTTTCCTTGGTATTCCTGGAAGACATCTTGTGGTAAGATACTGGGGGATTACAGCCAGAGCTGCTTTTTTTTTTTTTTTTTTTTTTTTTTTTTTTTTTTTTTAGGATGCTGGAAGAAAACACTGGTTCAATTCACCTCAATTCATCCTAGTAAACCACAGCTACAGCTCTGTAGTAATATCCCTTCTTACTTCGGCCACAAAGATTCTAATTACTTTGCATTTTGTTTTTAAATATGCTTACTACAATAATGTGTTGAATGATCGCTGCTTTCCTGAAACTGACTTTTCATCATTTAGTAAGTTGTCCCAATAAACCAAAACAAAGGACCTAATTTATTAACCCGTAAGTAGGGTTCTATGGTGGGGGTGAGTTTTTAAGTATTGCACAGCATACTTGTAGATCATGTCACACACCTACCTCCCTGTGTGGTGTCCTCCTGCGATGACCGCTCCAGGCACATATCACTGCTGCAGCCCCCTCCGCCATTGACATCCCCACTGCCAGTTCTTCCGGGTCTTGCAACTATCCTCTTCAGGGAGTGTACAGTGCATGCAAATAATTTCTAGGGAAAGAGGAAGACATTTTGTGGCATAAAAGTCTTTGTTTAAAGAACAACTCTGGATAAACATTGTATTAACCCTTGCAGTGGGGCTAGCCCCACATGGCAAGGGTTAAGTGCTAGTTTTTGCCTGGGGTCAGTAATAACAAGGTTATACTCGCCTGAATCTCCAAGACGGACGGCTGTGACAGCATTTCTTCCTGCCTGTTTCCTCCTCCACTGCAGCAATGCAATGTCCCTTGGTATCCTCATGTCCTATACACTGTGTATAGAAGGTGATGACTCAGAGGAAATAGGCTCCAGGTACCTTAGACCGCTGGAACGATGGGGGTGAGAGGCTGCAGGGACCAATCTAACAGCAAGCCAGATCCAAGTATCAGGTAGGTATAACTTTTTTTTAATCTGGGACCATAGGCATAAACGAGCACTTAACTCTTGCAGTGCAGGGGTAGCCACACTGAAATGATTATTATTTACCTGGAGTTTTGCTTTTAATTCTGTTTTACAACTAAAGCATTAGCAACAATGGATCTCTATGGTCAGTGTACAGATTTTTTAATAGTACCCCTTCTTACAGAACATTTTAGCCACAAGCTATTTTTGTCTTAATTTGAATGTATAATGTTGCTTGGGTTGGTGACGGCTCTGGTAAACATAGACTTCTTGCACCAATCTAAT